TCGAGGCCGACGGGAGCGCCATAAAAGGGATCGTACATGCCTGGCGGCACGCCTGCGGGACGGATGCCCATCTGCTCGATGTCCATCATGACGTCGACCTCGGCGAGGCCCTTGAGGTCGGGGTAGGCCACAAACTCGTCGCCGCGCTCGATCTCGCGTGCGACGGCCTTGCGCTTGGCCGACTGCTGGCGGTCGGCGCGGGATGCGTTGGGATTGGCGCGGTCGGTGGTGTCTGCAGCCGCCGAGGGCAAGGGGATGTGCAGCCTGTCCGGGTCGCGAACGAGCTCGGTCTCGAAGATCTGATGCCTTCGTGCGGGACGCGGCGCATCGAGCGTGCGCTTCTCGCGGTCGAGCCTCCTGCGCTTGCGGCTAAAGTCGTCCATCATGTCGCGGCGGAGGCTGGCGCAGCTGGACCGCCAGATACTCCAGGCGGCAAACTCTTCTGCGTTGGCGACGCGCTCGTACTGCTGCTCCTGCTGCTCGAACCACATGTCGACGAGCTGCGTGCGACGCTGGCGGCGCGACTCGATGGCCTTGTTGAGGTGGAGCAGCTCGGGATGCGTGCCGTCTACGATCATCTCGCCCTCCTTGGAGATCTCTTGGAGGCGCTCTACGTAGAGACGGTCGCGGAGCATGGCGAAGCCGATCTCGATCTTTGTGAGGGCCTCCATGGCTTCTTGGCGGCGGATGGCGGCTTCGTCTGTGGAGGCGTCTTCGTCTGGCTCGACGGCGTCTGGGGCGGGTGTGCCCGCTGCCGTGTCGAGCTGATCGGCGTCGGCATGGTCGGCATCGGCCGCCTTGACGTCCGCGTCGGCCTCGGCGTCGCCTGCAGGCTTGAGCTTGTCGGCGTCGTCTTCGTCGTCTGCGAGCGGGGATGCGGCTCGCGAGGAGGCGGCGGAGCCTGGCAGGCTGTCGACGAGCTGCTCGGGTTCGAGCAGGCTGGTGGCACCGCCGGTGGCAGCGGCGCGCTTCTTCATTGAAGCGATGAGGTCGAGGTCCGTGGTGCGAGGGGAGCCGGCATGTTCGTGATCTGAGCCCTCTTCTGCGCCTGCGTGACCGTCGGCGTCGATGTCGTCTTCGGGCTCCGGGGTGATGTCGGAGCTGAGGTCGTCGGCATCTGCCTGCTGCTGGAGTTGGTGGAGACGGCCGTGCTTGACGATGCCGTCGTGCGAGGTGCCCGCTTCGGCTGCTGCATCGTCGGCGTCTGCGTCGGCGTCGGAGGCGTCGTCTTCTTCATCTTCTTCGTCGTCCTCGTCCTCGTCTTCGGCATTGGCTGCGGCATCGCCGTTGACGCCGGCGGTGGCGAGGGCGGCCAGAGCGTCGAGGCCGGCGGCTGCAGCTGCGTTGGCATCGTCATCGGCGCCCTCAGCGCCACCGGTGAGGGCGGCTAGCGCCTCTGCAGCTTCGTCCTCGTGCGTCTTGCTGTGGCTGTCATCGTCGTCCTCATCCTCGTCGTCCTCGGAGCCGCCGAGGTCGTCGTCGGAGAGCGATGAGGCGTCTGCGTCGTCGTTCTGATCTTCGTCCTCGTCGGTGAGCTCGCTCTCGTCGCTGAACTCGTCGCCTGTGAACGCGCCCGCCTTTTGTGGCGAGCTGATGTTGGAGTTGGGGTCGTGTGCGACGGTTGCTTGGGAAGCGTCGATGTCGTCCTCGTCCTCGTCGTCGTCGTCGTGATCCTCGTCGGCGGGAGCATCTTCGTCGTCGTCGTCGTCGTGGTGGTGCGCTTGATGTGCACTGCGCGGATGAGATGAAGACTGGGCATGGTCGAGGGGAGGCAGCATGGACTCGTCCACCTCCTCGCCCGGAGCGTCGAGATCGGTGGCAGCTGCGGTGTGGTGAGCGAGCTCGGAGGGATCCATGACGATGTCCGAGTGCTGTCCGTCGTCGATTGCGGGGTCGTCGTAGGGGAGCGGCTCAGTGTCTGCGTCGGAGGCTTCGGCGTGGTCGGGATCTTGTATCGAGTGGGGAGCAGCGGATGTTGGCTGAGTGGTGGCACTGGTTGGCATGGTCAGACTGGGAGGGCGGCGGCGAGAGCGCGGCTGCTGAGTCGGCTGTGGCCCAGCCGGCAAGATGCTCGGGACGCTGTGCCGGTGATGTGAGGGATGAGGGGAGATGAGGGATGATGGATGGAGCTATCGCATGGTCGGGCTGGGAGCAGGTGTTTGCTTGCGGGTGAGGTGGATGTGTCGCTGCGACGAGCGGGCCGGCTCGAGGTTGGTTGGTGTTGGAGGGGGATGGCGCCTGGATGGAAGATGGAGATGGAGCGAGCTGAGGAGGATGGTGTCGGAGGGGAGAGGCAAAGCGAGTCTGAGCTGCGCCCCCGAGCTGAGGAGAAGTGAGCGAGAGAGAGAGAGAGAGCGTCGGGCAGACCCTCTCCTGGATGCTGCTGCTGCTGCTGCTGCTGC